TCTCTCTCTCTCTCTCTCTCTCTCTCTCTCTCTCTCTCTCTCTTTGCCACGCAAATGATTTTTTTTTAAAAAAAGGCAAGTTATTTTCACACAAATGGTTTATGGAAAATGAATTATATAAAAAGCGAGGCATGGATTTCAAAATAAATTTATCTTTTAATTGCAAAATACATTTCAAAACCGAAATACATTTATCTTTTAATTCCATTTTCTATAAACTTTTTGTGGTTACTGTGTTTGTTGTGTGATATTTCCTTACACTCTGAGGCTTCTACCTATTACTCTTTACTCTGTCCAAAGCTTATTGATTTATGTTGTGTCTTAAAAATACTTTTGCTTCTTTCATGTCTTGAAGATGTTTCCCTGTTTTCTAGTTGTTATAATATTAATAACAGGCCTTTTGAGGCTTAGTTGGCATATGAGAAAATGTCCCTGTTGATAGGGCAGCATTTGACCAGGTTCGACATGTGTGCACCTGTGAAACCAACTACCCCAGTCACGGTCTTGAACATGTCAGCACCTCCGGGGGCTTCCTGAGTTCCTCGTTAACCTTCCCAGACACACTCAACTACTTACACCGTCTGTCACCATTTATCTCTAGCACTGATCTATTTTCTGTCACTGTTAGCTTATGCATTTAGCATTTGTTACATGTCCTGTAAATGGAATAATACAGTAGGTGGAGATTTTCTGGAGGGTAGGGATGTTTTGGGCTCCATCCCTGCAGCATAATTATTTTGGATTTATCTAAGCTTTATAACTGTTTCGGTAATTCATTTTATTGCATGTATTTTCTTACATGGTATTCCATTACATGGATATCTATATACTTCTTATCTTTTAGCTTATGAGTGGACATTTGGATTGTTCCTATTTTCTGGCTATTTCAAGCCAAGCTTCTATGAATGCTTTCATTAATAAAGCATATGTTTCCAATACTGTTAGGGGAAGATTTGGCCTAGTGGATCAGATACCTATATGCCATGTCAGAATGACTGGGTCCTGAATCCAGTTTCCTACTAACGCACACTCTGGGTGGGAGCAAGTTGTGGCTCATGTAATGCTAGATCATGTGGCAAATGTATATGAATATGTAACTTTTTAAGAAACTGCCAATGTTTCTTCCACTTATTTTGGACTTTAGTTTCTCTTCTTTTTTAAAAGCATGTATTTATTTGTTTATTTTTATTTATTTTGAAATCAGTTACAGAGAGAGAGGTAGAGACAGAGAGAGAGAGATCTTCCATTTGCTGGTTCACTCCCCAGATGGCTACAATGGCCCACATTGGGCCAGGCAGAAGCCAGGAGCCAGGAGCCTCATCTGGATCTCTCATATGGGTGGCAAGAGCCCAAACACTTGGTCCATCTTCCACTGCTTTTCCCAGGCCATAAACAGGGAGCTGGATTGGAAGTGGATCAGCTAGGTCATATATGCTCATATAGGATGCTGGCATTGCCAGTGGTGGCTTTACTCACTCTACCACAACCCCAGCCCCTTCTTATTCTAGTTTCCAAAAGTAGAAATTGAAGTCATTGGTTTGAGCTCTTTCAAAGATTTATTTATTTATTTATTTATTTTTGAAAGAGTTACACAGAGAGAGAAGGAGAGACAGAGAGACAGAGTTCTTCCATCTGCTGGTTCACTCCCCAATTGGCTGCAATGGCTGTGGCTGTGCTGATCTGAAGTCAGGAGCCAGGAGCTTCTACAGGTCTCCCATGTGGGTGTAGGGACCCAAAGCCTTGGGCTGTCTTCCACTGCTTTCCCAGGCCATTAGCAGAGAGCTGGATTGGAATTGGAACAGCCGGGACTCGAACCGGTGCTCATATGGGATGCTGGCACTGCAGGCGGCAGCTTTACCTGCTACGCCACAATGCCAGCCCCTCTTTCTTCATTTCTAATGTAAATGTTTAGTGCTACAATTTTCCCTGTAAGCACTGTAAGCATTGGCAATATCCTATCCTTTCTTTTTTTGTTTGTTTGTTTTGTTTTTAAAGATTTATTTGAAAGAGTTACAGAAAGAGAGAGAGAGAGAGAGAGAGAAAGAAAGAGATCTTCCATCCACTGGTTCACTCCCCAGATGGCTGCAACAGCCAGGGCTAGGTCAAGCTGAAGCCAGGAGCCAGAAGCTTCATCTGGGTCTCCCACAGGTTGCAGGGGCCTAGCTTGAACTTTAACTGGCACCTATATGGGATGCTGGCACTGCAGGCAGAGGCCTGACCCACTATACCATGACAGTAGCTCCTGCAATGCCCCATACATTCTGATTTATCAAATTCTCATCTCATTAAGTTTGGAGTGATCTCTAATTTCCCTTTGAATTTCCATTCCACCCATTCACTACTTAGAGGGAAATTAGACCTTCATTTTCAGCTATGTGGGGATTTTATTTTTTATTATTGTTTTCAAATATAATTTCGTTGTGTTCAGAGAACACATTTTGCATGACTTTGGTCATTTTAATTGTCTTAAGACTAGTTTTGTGGCCAAGAGTGTGTCCCATCTTGGTAAAGGTTCCATGTGCCTGGAAACAAATCACGCATTGCTGTTGCGGGCTGGAGTGTCAGACAGATGCACCTAGGACAGACTCTTGGTGTGGCTGCCCTGGTCTTCCACACTCAGTTTCTTCCAGCTGTTCCATCCATTGTCAACAGAAGGGTACGGAGGCTCTGACTACACTTGTGGATTTGCCTGTCTTTACATTTACATTGGCTTTTGTGCTTCACATCTTTTGGATTACTTTTATTAGGTGTGTAAGTATTTAGCTTTATATTTATATATATATACACACACACACATATATATATATACTCATATATATACATATATATATACTTATATATACTTGATGAATTGACCCCTGAAACATATTGAAGTTTATTTATCTCTTATAAAATTCTTTTCTGTGAAATCTACCCAATATTAATATAGCTGGCTTCCTTTTATTTCTTCTATTTAGCAAAGTGATACAAAGGAGAAAATCTTAAGAAAGAGCACCAGGTTTGTGAAATCTCCATTCCAGGAGAGGGCAAAGGACTGTCACCAAAGGCAGGTGGCTTTCAATGGAGACGGATGTCTGCAGGTCACCCTGCACATGGCTGACCAGGGGAGGATGGTTCAAGGCCATAGGCACCAGGAAAGTCTCTAGGTGTGCGTTCCCATTAGTAACACTGTTTAGGGCATGCGCCTGGACAGGTGGATGCCTGCACATCTCTGAGTACACTGCGGTCCACCCAGGAAGCCAGGGCAGAGCAGGGAGCACAGGACAGGCTTGACCTGGACAGGGGCCTTCCCATCCACTTTGCCTGCCCTGTAGCAACCTTGCCTGTAAGCTCATCATCAGGCTCACATCTTCCCCCAGATAAGGAGCAGAAGAAGCAGGTGAAGAGTCCAAAATATGGCCTTATGGTTCCCAGGAACAAGAGGACCAGCCTCGAGCACTGGAGAACAGGAGCAGGCTCAGGACTGGCCCATGGCTGTGGCTCCCCAGCCTGGAGAGATGAGTCATCAGCACAGTAGCCACTTGTCACCCTCTATCTCATCAGCTTCTGGCCTCAGTGTGATTCTGCAAAAAGCACCCTGTGGGGACCAGCGATTCTGAGCCCTTGGGGTCCTGCCACTGACACAGCCATGGTTCATTCAAGAACGGAGTACAGAGTGGTCAACTCCAAACCAGACTCAACAGCTAGAGAATCCTGGGCCTTCCAGACCCAGGGGAAAATGGCTATGGCCTAACCTGCCCCATTGGGATGACCCAGGTAGCTTCTGATGAACAGGGCCTAGTCGCCTTTTGGAGGTCGTGTGGGTTGAGGAAGAGGCTACAAGTGTCAGGGACCCTTGGAGAACTGGGATGCTCTCTCTGCCCAAGGTAGGGTTCCAGACTCCTTCCCTGTGGATCCTCCAGGCCAGGAGCCTCTGAGCCAGGAGTCTCTTCTCCCAACGTCAGGGGACACATTCTCCATGCTAATGACCCCTAGTGACAGCATGACCTGGAGAAGCTGAACCCACTGTGACAGCAGCCCAGGAGGCCTGAGCTGCTAGAGGGCATGTGGGCATCTGGCCAGCCAGGTGTGCCACCAGGACCACCTGGACATTCTGGGGCTGCCTCCACCCACTGGCATCCTGGTCTGTGGTCAGAAGTGCCCTGGGGTCCTCTTGCAGGCTCAGGCCATGAGATGCTGGATTGTGAGATGGGGCAGGGAGGAAAGAAGAGTGGGAACCTGGTGCCCACACACCCAGGACAGTGCACAGAGGTGATCATGGGCCTGGTCCCTTGGCTGGGCCCACACTCCTGAACTGTCCCAAAGACCACATGTACCCAGCCATTGCTGCTCCTCCAGTTTTCCCCTGGTCCACGCTGGGCACAGGTCAATCTCAGGAAGTGATGGAGCACCCCAAGCTGGGTCTCTGACTGCATCTGGAGGCTGTGGCACCTCCAGCCACTTGCAAGGGACTCAGGGACCCTGTGTGGCAGCTCGGCTCCAGGGGTCACAAAATCAAAGGCATTCTGAAACCATTTAATACACAATCAACAAGGGGCAGAAGTTCCCGAGGGTTCCTTCACAAAGGCGGGAGGGGTATGTGGCAGCCCACAGGTGCCTGGGTTCATGTCCTATCTCATCTCCTGCTCTGAGGGTGCCCATAGCAACTGTGGCAGTGGACTGGCTCCTTGGCCGAGATGAGCCAGCGTGAGGCCACTCAGGGAGGGGGAGAGGAGCTCCAGAGAGGAGCCTTGTCAATTGGGGAGGCCACCAGGCATAGAGAAGCTAGATGCTGGCCGAGTTGAGCTAGGGTGAGAAAGCTCAGGGAGGGGAGAGGAGCTGCAGAGAGGAGCCTTGTCAGGCGGGAGGTGCTGGGCATAGAGAAGCTAGGCTTCTGGCCGAGTTGAGCTAGGATAAGGCCTCATGGTGAGGGAGTGGAGCTCCAGAGAGGAGCCTTGTCAATCAGGGAGGATGCCAGGCAAAGAGAAGCTAGATGCTGGCCGAGTTGAGCTAGGGTGAGGAAGCTCAGGGAGGGGGAGAGGAGCTCCAGAGAGGAGCCTTGTCCATCAGGGAGGCCGGCGGGCATAGAGAAGCTAGATGCTGGCCGAGTTGAGCTAGGGTGAGGCAGCTCAGGTGGGGGAGAGGAGCTCCAGAGAGGAGCCTTGTCAATCAGGGAGGATGCCTGGCAAAGAGAAGCTAGATGCTGGCCGAGTTGAGCTAGGGTGAGGCAGCTCAGGGAGGGAGAGAGGAGCTCCAGAGAGGAGCCTTGACCATCAGGGAAGCCGGCGGGCATAGACAAGCTAGCCTCCTTGGCCGAGATGAGCATGGGTGAAGCCTCAGGATGGGGGAGAGGAGCTCCAGAGAGGAGCCTTGTCCATCGGGGAGGCCGCTGTGCTCAGACAGCCTAAGCTTCTGGCCCGTCTGAGCTGGACACCTGGTGGGCTCTTCTTCCCCTCCAGGTGCCCACACACATCCAGCTCCTCCATGGAATGGGCAGCAAGGAGGCCTCGAGCCAGGGAGGGCACACAGGCCTGGTCTCCCAGTGCAGAGCTGGCTCCTGCAGGCTCCAGCCCGTGAGTGTCCCCAGAGTGCATGGGGCTCCCATGCAGGGAGGGCGTCTTCAGCCCTGCTCCCAGGGCTGGCACAGCCTGCATGGGCCCGGGATCCAGGGGCTCTGAGGCAGGTGGGGGAGGGGCCCTGAGACCCTGCTGGCCACCCAGCTCCAGGGGCCAGAAATCAGCGCCTTTGACAGGCGGGCTGAGATTTGGGAGGCCCCCCCATCGGGACAGGTCTCCCCTGCTCTGCAAGCTCTGTGGGGCCAAGAGGCCTGGGCCACGCAGAGACTCTGAGGACTTCACAGACAGGGCTGGGGACGAGGGCTCTGGGGAGGCACCCTCTTCACAGCCTCCCTCCTCGTCCTCTTCAAAAATTGTCTCGGGCAGGACGAATCTCAGGTCCCGAAGCAGCTTTGGCCAGGGAGACGCAGGACACTCAGCAGCCTGGTCTTCCTCCCCTTCCTCCTCCTCTTCGTCCTCTTCCTGCTTCTCCAGGCCGCTGTAGTACTCCTCATCCTCAGAGTCGGAGTCATCTTGGAAGGTCACGTTGAGTTTGGTCAGGGAAGTCCAGCGCCGGAGGGGGCCTGGCTCGTCCAGCCAGGAGCACTGTGGGCCCGAGAGGTGGGCGGCGCCCCCTGACCCTGAGGCCCCCGTGGAGGAGCCCTGGCCGCAGGGCTGGGTGCTGCTCTCGCCACGACTGCCCTTCTCCTCCTTGGTGTGTTGCTTGGAGTCGGGCTGGACGGCAGATCCGAGAGGACCGGTCTCCCCGGGGACAGAAGCTGAAGCCCCCGCTGGCTCCTGGAGAGCTGCAGCAGCAGGGTGACAGCCTTTGCGCTCAACGATGGTCTTGATGGACACTGGTGGGGGAGCGCGCTCCTGAGAGCCAGGCAGCACCTGCAGGGCCGGGCTGCCATCTTCGGTTGGCTTATCTGGAAAAAGAACAGATGGGTTTAATTTCTCCACGGCCACCATCTGGCCTGCAGGGTGCCTGCCCTGACCTGACCCTTGGGGTCCCCATTACTCGGTGTGATGCTCAGGACACCTCCAGCCTGCTGGCCGCAGAAGGAATGGTGCATGCAGCCTGGGCCATGGGAATGACAGGGACACCTCTGGTTCTCCCCTCAAAGCCCACAGACTGGACAGGCCTTGAGCCCCCCACCTCACTCTCTCATCTCTGGAGACTGCTGGCACCAACTCAGGACCCCATTACCTACCCCACCTGAAATCCTGGGCCCTAACAGTGCATTGGCTGAGTTACCCGCATCTGAGTCCCTCCTCAATTGTAGGAAGGGAACTGAGCCTAAGATGATGGGGGTGAGAGCTGGGGCTGTGGGGCAGACATGGGGTCTGGCCAGGCCCTCGGGGACAGGGAATGTGGTTTCCAAAGAGGTGGCAGGGGTTCCCTGTGTCCTCTGCCCCTGGGCCACAGTCCCTTTCCCGGTGAAACTGGGCTGTCATTGCTTCTGTCTCACGAGCACCCAGGGGAGGCAGCACCTGGAAGCACAGTGGGGACTTCCCAGTGTCTGAACAGGCTGCCCCTGGGCCCCCACTGCCAGCCTCTAGAGCTGGGACAAAGCCATCTCTGCTCTGCATGGGGACCCAGGTGCTCAGGTCCTTGTCAGCAGGGGACAAGAACGGGGACCCCTCTGCACCAGAGCCCAGAGGCCACTGCTGCTCCGGGTCCTGCTGACTTCTGTTGGCCCAAGGCTAGGACTGCAGAGCCCACACTCAGCTGAACTTGGGTTCTGCCGTGGGGGCCCCCAGCGCCTGCCTCTGCGCCCACCCTGCTCACAGGAGTGCACTCGGCCCCCACTACTGGGTTCAGGGCACGTGGGCCTTCCAGGGGTCCTCAGATGGCTGAAGGGGATCCAGTGCCGGCTGGACCACCCCGCAGGAGGATCCAGGGAAGCTGCCCGAGGCCCCGCCAGGCCATGCTGTCAGAAGCTCCTGAAAGCAGAACTGCTGAGCCCAGGGAGGACAAGGAGGACTAGGAAGAGGTGAGTCCCTGGGTGGGGCTGCCAGGGCCTGGCACTCCCACTACTGACTCCCCCAAGGGAGCATGGGACGGGGCCGTGTGCTGGACTCACCTTCGGGAGGCAGGAGGCACTGCAGCTTCCCCAGCTCACGCATGGAGGCCCGCAGCTGCCTGATGACTGCATCCTCGCTCAGTGACCAGGCCTGCTTCAGGGTCACCTGCAGGAACTCCCGGATGTGGTCCCTGGACATCTTCATCAGGCGCTCTAGACATGGGGGTGGGTGTCAGGCTAGGAGGAGCCCTAGGCATGGCGTAGCCACCATGGCTGCTCCAACCCTTGTTTCTGCTGCAACCCCTGACCCTGGCCCTGTCCCCCACTTGCTGGCCCTGAGGCTCAGCCTCAGCTTGGACCACCCTCAGCAGGACAGGGCCTGCCTGGTCTGCACAGCAGGCTCCTTCCTGTGTCTGCTGGGCCTGGGGAAGCTCAGCTCTGCTCAGAGTCACAGGCCACCAGGTCAAGAGAGCCAGGCAGTGGGGAAGGAGCGCATGCAGGAACTCCTGGATGTGGTCCCGGGGCATCTTCAACATGGGCTCTGGACATGGGGGTGGGTGTCAGGCTGGGAGGCGCCATTTTTGGGGGTTGGGGATGAAACGGGATTCGCAATGCCCCCTAAGCTGGCCAAGAACTCAGAAAACTCGTCCCTCCCCTAGGTTCTGCTCACCCGGGCCAAGCATGGGACCCCCCCAACTCCTCCATCCCCAGCACCCAGGCCTCTGTGGGCCCTGAGGACTTACTTCGGTGGACCTTGAGGACGGTGTACACCATGCCGGTGAGTACGTGCGCGCCCTCAAGGATGTAAATGTCGAACATCCGAAGTGCCAGGGGGAACGGCACCTGGGGAACAGAGGCATTGGAGGACCCCACGCATCAGGGCCTTAGTAGGACCCACAGTGGGTGGGTGTGCAGTGTCATAGGGCATCCTAGCTGTGCCCTAGAAGCCCAGAGAGAAAGAGTACCAAGGCCTATCCAGGACCCTGGGGCCACGCGGACTGCTCTGCACACTTTGGAAGCCACCCTGGAGATGCCAGACAGCCCAGGGACCTGGGGGAGGGGTCAGCCCTTGGGCTGTGCTGAAACCAGCCTGTGGCACCCAGGGTCTATGGATCTGCTGCCTCTCACTGTAGGGCTCTGGCCTTTGCCAGGCTCTCAGGATGGGTCCTGGTGGGACCTGTCCCCTCCTTGCTGTCCCTGAGGCTCAGCCTCAGCTTGGACCACCCTCAGCAGAGCAGGGCCTGCCTGGTCTGCACAGCAGGCTCCCTCCTGTGTCTGTTGGGGCTGGGGGAGCTCAGAGTCAGAGACCACCAGGTCAAGAGAGCCAGGTACTGGGGCAGGAGCTTCCCTGGGCAAGGGGTCCCTGGGGCACTTACCCCATCCAGGAAGCACTGGATGTACCAGTGGGCGGTGTAGTCCTCAAGGCACACACCCTCCTTCTCCTGAGAAGAGGCAGAGGGGGCTCAGGGCCCAGGGCCCAGGGCCCAGGCCTGACTCCCTCTAATCTGAGCCCTGTGGCAGAGCCCCTGGGTGCAGGAAGCCCAGCAGCAGGTGCATCCCCCCTCCCAGCGATGCAGATTCCTGAAAGGACACAGGTCCCTCAGTCCACTCTACCCTGGGGACAGCATCTCCCTTCAATCTACACAAACTCTGGGGGAACAAGTGGTGGAAAACACACCAACACCCAAGCTGCCACAGACCCCAGTAACAAGGAAAGTCTTGGTGAGGACGTAGCCTCCCCTGGCCCAGGAAGCAGTCAGGACCCCTCTCTGTCCTCCCCTCCCTCAGCACAGAGCCCCCGAGGGGAGAAAGGCGATGTTTACTTACCAGGTGTTTCTCCAGGGAGGGGAGCACGCGACGCATGATAGCTCCCAGGTGGTGCTGGAATCGCTCCAGTTTTGGGGAGTCCGGTGTGTAGAAATCTGAGTAATAGCAACCCCCCGGCCCTCACTTCAGAGTGTCTTCCCGGGAAGGCTGGAAAGTCAAAGGCTTGGGGCGGGTTCTTTCTGAACATGGAGGGTCAGGGGAAGCTCTAACAGGCAGGGGAGCCTCAGGGGAAGGGGGGGTACAGCTGACAGCCCAGGGCAGGCTGCCTAAGGTGACCTCTGGGCTGACTGCAGTCACACTGGGTGCCTCAGGGCCATCTGGACACTCAGGGTGAGGAGGGGTCACCCTAGAATGGATGCTCCTTCTGCAAGGGTGTGGCTCAGTGGGTGGGAGTCTGAGTAGAGATGTGAAGCAGTAAGGCCAGTAGAGACCTAAGGGTCATTTGTCAAAGACAAGGCACAGGACCTTTGTGTGATGGGAAGTGAGGGGTATGGCTTGGTATTGGGTCCTCTGCCGGCCCTGGCTTCTAAGAAAGCATTCTGAGGGAGACCGCCCTATGCACGCAGCAGCCAGTGAGGGACAATGTCCCAGTCACTTGTCTGCATGCCCATCCCTGCACTTGCAGGACCACGCCCACCACACCCATCACCCACCATGCATCGCGTGCTGGCTGTCCCCCATGAGCTGGACTAGGGCCCAGAAAGCATCCTCTTCACTCAGCCACATCAGCAGCAGGGCTGCCACGTGGCTTAGGCCCTGGCTGTAGCCCAATTCCTGGAAGAACACAAAACACATCAGAAGGACCTCCCTGGCTGGGATGATCTCACGTGGCAAGGGTGACCTCTCCTGGGAGAGCTGAGCATTACCACCAGGCCCCACTGCTGCCCCTTGGGTGTCAGGATCTCTCAAAGTTCCTGGAGAGAATCCTGCAGGGTCTGAGCGCAGGCTGTGCAGGGTTAAGAAGAGGTATGAGCCCCACCCCAGATGTCAGGAAGGGGAAGACTGTTGTGGGAGTGCAGACTGCACACCCGTGATGGCCTCTGGAGCTCTCTGCTGCACAGGTGCCCTGCTGGGCCCCACTGCAGACGTGAGGAAGAAGCACCATAGTAAGGCCTGCCTGGGCCAGAACAGAGCCCAGCCCAGGAGAAGGCTTCCGTTCTGCCCCAGAACTTGAGGTTGGGGCCAAGGAGGCCATGAGCTTGAACTCTACCCCTCAGTCTCTGCCTTGTGGATTAGAGAGGCCCCCTCAACCCAGGCTAGGATTTCTGTGACCAGGGGCACCCTGCATGGACAGCTCTGGATATGACCTTGGAACGTTATCGCAGAATACTCACGGGGTTGTACATTGAGTATGCGAGGAGCACCTCAAATAAGGAGCGTTGTCTGGAAGAGCGAGGACAGAGGCTGTGCGTCCAGTGCTGCCGAGGCTCTCAGTGTGGCTCTGCCTAACAGAGCCTGACAGCCACACGCAGGGCCCTTGATACTCTGCTCATGAGCAGTGACGTCATCAGGGCACCTGCGTGTGGTCCACCGTGTGGGTGAGTGCTGCCTGCAGGGACATGCACATCTCCCAGGGTGCAGTCATGTGCAGTTTCGTTTCCCCAGGTGGGTGTTCATTGCAGAGGTGAGCGTCCCACTGTGGGAAGTGCAGTCCCGTGGGTCTAAGCCATGGAGAGTCAGCCTCCCATGCACGTTCATTCTGATAGGGAGCAGCTCCTGTGGCCTATCTGTTCCCCATGAGCCTCTGTGGCCAAACTCCCCACCTCCCCCAGCCCGTGACCACCACTGCCCTGTTGTGTGTCCTGGAGTTTGGCCTCTTGCAGATGTCCTGTGAGTGGATCATAGCACGTGTAGCCTTTGAGGGATGCTTCCTCTCTTAGCAGGATGCACCTGAGATGCATCCAGGTGAGCCCAGGGCCGAGCCTCGTCCTGCCTCTCACTGAATCCTGTTCTCGGATTCAGCTGTGACACGGGTTGCTTATCCGTTTCCCCACTGAGCATCGTGCAGGGTAGTCCTGCGTCCAGTGACTGTGAACACAACCCTGAATCTTGCGTGAGGGTTTTATGCACTCAGCTGTTCTGGTGGTTGTGTAAATGTGCGTGTGTGCTGGGGGTTCATGTGGAAGGTGTGTGTCTCTCATTGTGAGAAATGGCCCTGGGTGCTGCTGGGGGCCTGGGCACTGTGCTCTGTTCCTGCAACGAACCGGAATTGCGCTCACCTCACGTTTTCCCCAGCACCCGGCGTTCAGTGGTCTTAGTTCCCCCATTCTCACAGCTGTGCGCTGGTGCCCCGTTGTGGTTTAGGTGCTAAGCATGTTTTCACGCGTTGAGTAGGAGAGTTGTGTGTGCCATCATGCAGGGGCCCTCCTGAGCCTTGGCCCATGTCAGGGCAGGGAACCCTCATTTGCTTTGTTGTTATTGAGATTTACAAACTTCATTTTCTGTATTTTGCAAATACTGTCTCCCCTTGTGTTCCTTTTCATTTCATTCCCACCAAAGTGTCTTTGGGAAAGCAAACTGTTCAGTATAAATAGAAGGCCATGGATCCATTTTTTTCTGTCCTACAGGAATTATGCTTTAGGTGTGAGCCCACGTCTCTCCTAGGACCCCATGTGTCCCAGGACCCTTGCACCTCCCTCCCCCAGGGCCCCTCCAGCCCAGAGGCCTCACTTGGCTCCGTATCGCTCTCGAAACATGATGTGACTTCTGAACGTGCGTGCTACATCTTCATCGATCTGTTGGACTTGATCTGAGCACAACCTGGCCCGTTCCTTCATCTCCTGCAGGGCAGGGCCGAGGGGGAGGGGCCAGCCTCAGGACGAGCCAACCCCCACTGTCACACAAGCACCCCAAAGCCACATCAGCTCTTCTGGTTGGCAGGGAGAGTTCCCCTTGAGGGAAGCTCATTCCCCTGATCCAGGGAGGGTCATGGGTTCCCCACTCACCTTAGTGTCCACGCCACCCCCAGTGCCCAGCAGAGGGGCCACTGTGGACCCGCTACAGTCAGCCTGAGGCCAGGGGCTCTGCCAATGTCCTTCTGTGCTACCTCTGCCTTCCCAGAGCAGGAGAGACTGAATCAGGCCTCCGAGCCTCCTCACTGGGCTCTCAGGCCCCACAGGACAGGAGTCAGCCTCACCCTGACCAGCCTTCAGGGCTGCCCCCTGCAGGAGAGCCCCAGCTCCATCAAGAGAGTGGACACCCTTCTTGGACTTGGAGCTGGCCCCAGGGGCAGCCCCCACTTGAAGACTTGGGCGAGGGCGGGGCTGGCGGCTCAGTTGCTCCTTGCTCCCTGATGTCAGCCAGGGAGGTGACAGCCCGGGGCCAGCCCTCTGATGGATCAGCCCTCATTCCCAGAAGCAGTTGAGAGCTGACTCTGACCGATGGAACCAGCAGGCCAGGTGGGGGCTGGGTGAGCTGAGGCCAGGCCAGGCATGAGAAGGCCCAGGTGAGGGCAGGGCCCGGCGAGCATAAGAAACGCACAAGCAGGGTCAGGTGTGGGGAGGGCCGTTAGGGACAGAGCCAGCTGAGGGCCCTAGCACACAGGATTTCCACCTCACTCCAGGCCGTCTCTATCCATTCAGGACCCAGCACAATGGCACTGGGCAGTCCTGGGCCTAGAGGCAAGGCAGGACCACAGGGATGAGGGCTGTGGCCCTGACCGGATCCTTGTGTCCAGGCCCATTTGTGTGTGGGGAGACATGGAGGAGGCTTCTGGGGAGACGTGGATGAGGCAGAGGGGAGGGCCGGGTGGGGGCCCCAACCAAATGACCACTCCTCCTTGGCATTACTTGTCCACCACACGGGAGCCTTGCACTCCTGAGCAGGCCCAAGCGGGTCGGCCTGCCTCAGATTGCACGCAGAGCCATACCTCGAATTTGCCAGGGTTCTGGGCCTTCCTGGTATCCACGGAGAGCATCATGGCCCACACCTTGCCGCGCACCTGGGCAGGGATGCCTTTCTCAATTCTCCGGTGGAACTACAGGAGAGAGGAGGCTCTGGTGAGACCCGCCCCAGGCCCTCTGTTGGGGGGGAGTGTAGGGTGAGACAGCAGGAAGGGGAGCCCTGGGCTCTGTGCTGTGTCCCCAGATCTGCCTGGACCTGGGCCTCCTGACCCAACAGTGAGAGGAGGGCCGAGGGCTCAGTGCAGGCTCACTGCCAGGCATCCATGCCTGGGCGGCTTCTGCTTACTGAAAGGCAAGAGAGACAACACCATGAGAATGGGCACTGAACCACGCATGGTCCACTTCCCAGCAAGGCTGGGACAGGACCTGTGTCCTCCTCACCCTGCTGAGGTGCAGCCCAGGGCACAGAGAAGGGCAGGGAGGGGGCAGCCATGCTGCAGGCAGACACCCAGCAGGGGCTGTGACCGTGAGCATAGGGAGCCCAGGGCCAGGGAGGAGCCCTTGCTGCCAGTGCTGTGAGTGTGCAGCTGGGACTCGAAGCACCTGGGACCACCACACCTCCCTGGGTACCCCCCTGCCCACCCTCCTCCCTATGCACTGGCTGCCTGAGGTGCCTGCTCCCCACCTCACCCTCCTCAGCCCGGACCGTGGCCATCTCTCCACCACTCGGCTCCTGCTTTTTCTCCAGGTTCTGGCACAACATGGAGCCAGAACCCCCATCCCCGAGAGCTAAGGTGGCCGAGACGGCTCCATCCCTCTAGGTCACCGGAGCCCACCCTCCAGCCACGGGGCCTCCAAGTCTGTCTCTTGCCCTCAGGTCCCACTCCTCCCAGCACAGTGCCCTCCGCTGCAAACCCCTCTGTCCCGGTCTGTACTGGGGAAGCCTGCAGGCAGGTTCGGAGCCTTGAGGTCACATCCCTGGCCTTCCCTCAGGCCAGGCCTTTAAGCCTTTAGCTTGGCCCCTGAGACCCAGGTACCTCCTGGACAACTGCCACCTTCTAGGCTGATGCCCCAACCCTGTGGCCACAGCTCTGGAATGCTGATGGCCCGGTTGTGTCCCCTAGGAGCAGGGCAAGACCCTCAAGCCACCCCCTCTACTTAGCATGAACAGAGGCCTCAGAGGCAGTGTGCCCCGTGCTTGCCCCATGTCCAGTTCTGTCCCTGCCTGCAGTTTGGATTCACTCACTGGGTCATCAGCTCTGGCCACACGCTGACCTGTGCCTGCACTGTTACAACAGCTTGGATCAAGGAGGGGGCCTGGGGACAGGTGTGCTACCTAATGGTGGGGTTTCTGACCCTGGTCCCTCCCCTGGGTGGATCGGGGTGCAGAGGACTCACCGCAGGAAGCCAAGTTTGTCTGGGACAAGGGCTCCACTCTCGTTGTCCTCTTCTCCCAGGTGAAACTGGGGCCCTTTACGGGGACCCTGCAGGGGAGAGGGGACCCAGGTGAGAAGTCCGGGTCTCAGTCACTGAGGGAAGCTGAGCCACCCTCCCCACTGTGTCCCCAGGGAGGTGGGGTCTGGCTCTCACAGGCACAGTACTTGAGGCAGGGTCCTACCTCCTCTCCCAGCACCCTGGCCCATACCTGCTCATATTTCAAGATGATCCCTGCTCGCTCCTGGGCCCTGCCGGACCTCAGGGCGTCCATATCCAATCTGTAAGACACACACGCACATGTGAGCCAGCACAGGGAGCCCACGGGAACTGCTGCCCTGAGGGCTGTCCCCCTGGTCAGAGGGGGGACAGCCACACAGCCAGGTGGGCGGGCACCTGGTGGTCGGGTCCCAGGAGGATGACTTGTCCAGAGCACAGGGACTAGGGACAGTTGGGGAAGGACAGCCCCCACCTTGCCTCCCCTGCCCTGGGAAAGGATGCTCCTCTCCCAGCCTGGCATCCACGTGTCCTCCAGGGAGCCCAAGTCCAAGGGTCTCCCTGGCCCTCTCCCAGCCCCCGCGTCTCTAGGGCTCTCAGAGCCAGCCTCGCTGCCCCACCTGATACCAGCTGATCCAACACCTAGTCTTGAACCCGTGTCTGACACAGACTCACACCAAGGCCCATTCGACACTGATGACCAGCAGAGTGGGAGGAATGAGACGACTGTATACACGCTCTGCACACAGGGGCCGACTGAGAGCTCAGCCACATCACTCATGGAACCTGGCGTGGGAGACCAGTGCCACCCACCTGGCGTGACCTTCCCCATGTCACAGCTCATGCACAGAGCAAGTCCCACTCACCTCCATCGCGAATCCATTGGATTCTAGCAAAAGTGCCTCCTGCCTACGCTACCAACATCTGGTCAGTTGGGCAGTAGATGCACTACTGACCGCTGGTTGCCGACAACCCAGAGTGCACAGTTCTCAGTGACTGTGATGTCACAGAATCCTGCCAGCCAATCCCAAGTGACACACAGCTCTGGCAAGGGGTCATGGTTCTCATCCCGGCTTCATAAAAAGTCACCAGAAGTGGGGCCTGTGTTCTCCCCAGGGCCCAGGTGAAGAGGGCAGGGCTCTGGCAGAACTGCCCCAGAACCAGGGGTGCCAGGGCCCTCTGCCACCTGCCGTAACGGTCCCAAGTCTCAGGCAACCTGCACCTCCTGCCCCTCCTTTCTTCCTCTGCAATTTTATTACAGCACAACTGTGAAAGCCTTTCTCTATGAATACAAGGTGGCACAGGGAGCCCCATCATGGCCTGTCCATCTCCCTGAGGTCCCCACACTCGGGACTGCCCTTGCAATGACCTGAATGGAGACTCCCAAGGCTGCAGCCTCCTGTCCTACCACAGGCCCCACCCTAGCACTCCCAACCCCTGCCGACCCCTCCTGCTCTGTTCCAGCCCTTCTTCCCAGGAGTTTTAGGAGGTGGACACCGGCATCCTCCTGGGATGGGGGGAGGGGAGCAGCCCGCTGAGCACCACCTGCATAGGACCTCAAGCCAGCGTGGTCCAGACTGTCCAGAGCGGGAGCCAGGGCCCTGTCCTGACACTGACCATGGCTTCAGGCACAGAGCACTGAGAACTCCTGGGCACCAGCTCCTGAGCCGCACGCTGGTAACACCGGGCTGCTGCTGACCATAAGGACAGGGACAGCATGCATCGGGCAGGAGCAGCCACAGGCCCACAGTTTCCCGGGGTGCTGATCACCGGGACACCCACCCCTGAGGGATGCAGGGGTCACTGCCAGCAGCAGCTCAGCCCTTCCAGCCCCTGGGCTGCTCGTGGTCAGCACGGGCTCTGCAGAGCCCAGGGACCCCAGCAGGGTTGGCCCAGCCTCAAGGCTTCCAGCTTTGGCTGCCTTCCTGCTACTTCCTCGCTGCTTACTCCGGGGAGGGGGAGCTGTCTTCTACTGTGGGGTGCACATGTATTTCTCTATGTGCATCATACGTGTGTGCCCAAGGTGGGTGTGCTCCAGGCCTCCCCCAGGACTAGAAGCTCCACGCCTGAAGCACCCGGTCCTTGTCACTGTCACCTCATGGCATGCAGGCTACACTGAGATGGCACCAAGTGTCCCCCCATTTTCCCACCCCGCCTTGCTGGGCTGCTTTGGTGCAGTCAGGTGGGCTTGCAGCGGGCACAGCCCCATGGCAAGGCGGAAATCTGCACTCCTTCAAGAACTCTTGTTGCCTTCAGAGCAGTGCTCATTGGTGAGGCTGACACGATGGCCCCAGGCTGATGGGTTCAGGAGGCACCCGGGATGAATCTGCTCTGGGTGACAAGGCAGCTGGCTGCACAGCCCCTGCCAACCTGGCCCAGCATGGAGGACGCCCGGGGGGAGGGATGAACTCACCTCTGCAACGTGGCTTCTGTCCCCTACTGTCAGGTGACGATCCCACCTGTTGGCCATCTCCTCCTCTGTCAGGACCCTGGAGGTGGATGAGGAACAAAAGATGCACCTGTCTCCAGCCCCTCCCTGCCCTGCCTCAGGCCCCAGGACAGCCTCTCCTGCTCACCCCATCATGGTCAGGGCAGTGACAACCCAAGTCTCATCTGCAGCCTGCCTGGTACCACAGAGTCCAGCGTCCCCATCCCCTGCACATGCACCACAGCACTCTCTGTTCCACTTCCTCGTTGTAAGGAGCCCCTCCTGTGCCCAGGAACCCATGCAGGTGTCCCCCTCTGCTGTCCTGCCCTACCTTGACACAGCACTCACCAACCCCTGGAGAAACTTCTCCCCAGACACGGGGGCAGGAGGCCTCCCTGCACCCCTTAAAGCCATGCGGCCATGGCGTTGTCCTGCCTGTCAGTTTCTTCCCAGTCCTCATGGCAGCCTTGTTCGCCTCATCACCTGAAGGTCACGGGCGTGGGCAGTTTCTCTTTAGTCTCCCTGCCCTGCAGACTTGCTAGCAAACAATAGAATGCAAATAAATACCAATAAGTTGAAAACCATGGGATTCTCACACATTCGGTGTGGAGTTGATGGCCTGTTTAGTCCAGAAAGAGACCGAGGGTGATAAATGCTCATCCCCAGACCTCCTCTTCCACAGCTATCAGGGGACAGAAGAGTTACTGAGCCAGCAGGAAACACCTCTCACACCTGGGGGCCCTGCTCAGGGGCAGGAGCCAAGACTCGGGAGTGGATGCTGTCTGGCCCACAACACTGTGCATCCGGGAGAGTTGGAGAATGAACCAGATGGACGATTCTCTCTCTCTCTCTCTTTCTCTCTCTCTACTGCTCTCTTTATGTAACTCTTACTCTCAAATAAACAAATCATATATATGTACATATATAAAAACATTAATTAGTGGAGCTGTAGAGCCTTTCTATTACTATATATATATATATATATATCACTACACTGTTACACTGTGTACACATTTTTTTTTTCTAGTGAGCACTTGTAGTCTTCACCAAAACAAACTGCTCATGGGCCTTAATACCACTTGTTCAAATTTGAAAGGTTTTTTTAAAAAAATATTTATTTATTTGAAATTCAGAGTTACACAGAGAGAGGAGAGGCAGAGAGAGAGAGGTCTTCCATCTGCTGGTTCACTCCCCAATTGGCTCAGCTGCACCTATCTGAAGCCAGGAACCAGGAGTTTCTTCCAGGTCTCCCATGTGGGTGCAGGGGCCCAAGGACTTGAACCATTTTTCTTCTCTATAATCTTTTTTGTGGCTAAATGATCTTACCTAGTTGTGTATTTTAATTTTCCACTTATTGGCTTTGGTTATTATATTATAGAGTTTTGCTTTGTGTTTACCATGAGTCTTACTAAAACATTTTTGGCTTATCAAAAGCTTGTTTGACATGTAGACATCTTGGCATAAGGAAAAAACAAGGGGCTTGGTCCATGGCATGTTAGGTTAATCCTCTGCTTGCGGTGCCAGCATCCCATATTGGTGCCAGTTCTGGTCCCGGTTGCTCCTCTTCCAATCCAGCTCTCTGCTATGGTCTGGGAAAGCAGTAGAAGATGGCCCAAGTCCTTGGGCCTCTGTACCCACTTGGGAGACCGGCAGGAAGCACCTGGTTCCTGCCTTCAGATCCGCGCAGCTCTGCAGTGCAGCCACTGGGGAGTGAACCAACGGACAGAAGACCTTTCCCTCTGTCTCTTCCTCTCACTGTCTTTTACTCTACCTCTCAAATAAATTCTTCAAAAACAAAAACAAAAAAAAAACAAGAGATACATACTAATAAAGAACACTAAAATTATACTCCTTTCCTTCCTACATTTTGAATTTTTGATGTCTACTTTTAAATCTATATTATCTATTATTTTTAGTGGAATTATTATTCTTAATTCTTTTGCTTGTTATTCTTCATACTAAACATATGGATTGTGGATGTCCTTGTTTACAATATGGGAGCATTCTGAATTTGTGTATTTAGTGACTTGTACCAGTGAGTTTTCCACATTCTAATATTTTTTCTTACTCATTAGCATCTCTTTCTTCCAGTTTAAAAAACTTCCTTTCTTGTAGGACAGATCTATAAGACAATAACCTCTCTCACCTCTTGTTTTTCAGAGAATAACATTATCTGTCCTCCATAACAGAATGATAACTTTGCTAGATCCAATATCCCTGGTCAGCAGGTTCTCCAAGAACATTGTGAGAATCACATCTCTTTTCGTGCCATCTGTAAATCCTGCCCTATCACTCTAGAAGTGAACTGGGACAGTCTGGTGTGTCATTCACTTCCTTTCTCTTGCAATGTTGAGACTCATCTTTTCCCTGGAGACAAATTTGATTTTAATACATCCCGGGATGGACTTGGTTGAATCAAATCTAATTGGTGACCCCATGCCTTCCTGTCACTTGGATCACTGTACCTTTCTGCAGACTTCAGGATGGTTCTGTATTATCTAGTTGTGTGTACTGACTACCAATTTAATATTCTCAGTTCCTCTTGACCCACAATAATGTAGATATGTTTGTTTGTTTTTATTGTTTGAAGGTAGAGAGATCTTTTATCAACTGGTCCACTCTGCAGATGCCCACACAGCTGGAGCTGAGACAAGTGAAAGCCAGGAGCCCAGAGCTCAATCCAGGTACCTCACATAGGTGACAAGGGCCCAAATACTTCAGCTATCATCTGACACCTCCCAGGGTGTACATTATCAGGAAATTGGATTCAGAAGCAGAGCTAGTGCTCAAACCCAGGCACTGCAATATGAAATGTGAGTATCCTCACCAGTGTCTTAACCACTGCACTGAAGAGATACACCAGATGTGTGTACCTTTCAAAGAATCCTAAAATACACGTAAGCCTTTTCATACTTGTTGGAATTTTTTTTATTTTTTGCTCCTCCATATGTTCATTTTCAAATAGCCTATATTTGAGTTTACTGCTTCTTCTGTTTGATATAGTTTCCCATTGATACATTCTATCATATTCTAAGTTTTGGTTAGTATAATTTTAGCTTAAAGATTTCTGTTTGGTTTTTGAAAATTACCTTCATTTCTTGAGGGCCGGCACCGTGGTGCAGTAGTTTAATTCTCTGCCTGAGGTGCTGGCATCCCATATGGGCGCCAGTTCTAGTTCTGGCTTCTCCTCTTCCCATCCAGCTCTCTGCTATGGCCTGGGAAAGCAGTAGAAGATGGGGCAAATCCTTGAGCCCCAGCACCTGCATGGGAGACCTGGAAGAAGTTCCTGATTCGTGGCTTTGGATCGGCACAGCCCCACCATTGCAACCATTTGGTGAGTGACCAATGAAAGAAGACCTTTCTCTCTGTCTCTCCCTCTCACTATCAGTAACTCTACCTCTCAAATAAATAAATACTTTTTAAAAAAAGAAAACTACCTTCATCTCTAGTAAGCCTCCTCCTCTGAGTATTGAATAGTTGTGCCATCTTCTCTTGAAGCTTAGTGAGTTGCAATACAGCAGCTCTTTTTAATTCTACATCTGAGA